ATGGGTATACAATAGCTATATTAAGGGTATGTACCTAGATGTCCTTATTAAGGGTCCCTCATTTTACCCTTGGAGTGAACAAATGCCGAAGCATTGGGCTATGGGATTACCGGCTGAGCCCTATAATAACCCTACCTTTCTCAGCTTCCTTGATTTACGATTCGCTTGTATAAGTCCTTAAACAAGGTACGTTCTTTGAGGTTCAGGTAGCCCTAAGGCGTTGTTTTCTTTTTGACTTGCTTAAATATAACTCCTCAAAATGGTACGTTCTTTGGGGTTCAGGCAGCACTAGAACCCCAGTTGCCCAACACGACCGGTAACTTCTCCTCAAATGCCTAAACCCTACTTGAAGGCTCATGGGACTTAGTAAGTAAGGTTATAAACAGGTTATAATTAGGATAACCCCACTTAGGGGACTTATAACCCCAATTATAACCTACTTACTAAGTCCCATGATCCTTTAAGTAAGTTTCAACCCTAAACCCCGAAACTCCCAAGGCCCCTCAACTCTGAAGGCCCCCACATCCTACATACCGAGACTCTAAGCCATAAACCTTCCTACTTGTCGGGTATCATGGGGGGGTAGGGGATCTCTAGGGTTCCTTAAAGGGATCTATGGGGTTTAGGGTTTAGGGTTCCTTACTCGTCGGATATCATGGGGAACTGAAGTTTATCCTTCTTGTTTATGTAGGGGTTGTATAGGGACTATACTACCCAGAAAAGGTTATATAAAGGTTACCTGCTCTACTACTAAACCTTCAACTATACTGAACTTAGAACCCTAGTCTTAGGGATTATAATAACCACAAATTAGAAATTATTTCTGAGTACCCCGAAATCAATGCAGCAGCCCAGTAACCTACTGCACGGGTTCGATGGCCTGGTTCCCGGCATCCCCATAACTCTAACCCCATAAACCACCACAAGCAAGGTTTAGGGTTTAGGGTTGGGGATTATGGTTTTTGGTTTAAGGTTTAGGCTCAACCACCAAAAGCAACCTTAACTAATGACCAGATTAGGACCGAACAGGACAGAATAGTATGGTGTAATAATCTAGTAGTGTAGGATGAGATAGGATAGGAGAGTATGATATACAATAGTATGGTACAGCATGGTAGTTTAACATAACCACAATCGGGAGCCCTAGGAACAAGTATTGTTAATTGCTAAAAGTTGCTGAAACTTTCGGCTGCTCTGTTACCCCCTGATGGGACGATCATAGGGATCCATTCGACAATTCCCTAGTATAGTAAGAACCAGGGAGAAACTCCCCCCTAACCCTAAACCTGTAAACCCTAAACACCAAACCCCAAAGCCCCAACCCCTAAACCTTAAACCCTGAACCCCTAAACCCTGAACACTAAAATCAAAAACCCCTAAACCGCCGTTGGAGTTTCTGGAAATCCGAAAGAACAGATCCTCAAGGCGTAAAACTTTAGACCCAAAGCCTCAACTGGAGAGTTAGATAGGAGTTCGCATATCTTTGTTGAGGGTTCTATTTGGGTTAGTTGGGTTGTTGGGGTGTAGGGTCTGTAGGGATGATCATCCGGATTTTGAGGTTCTAGCGGCAAATTCAAAGCTCCATGGCCGAACGGTTGAAACCATGGGCCCCTAGTATGGGCCCTTAACCCTGGAATCCTTATCAACCTACTATATACCCTATATAAACTCTGCAAGCTCCCTAGAACTCCCTCAAAAAGGTCCAAAAGTCCATATTTTTGGGGCCCATACTTTCAACCTTCGAATAGCCCAAGTGTCCAGAGACATGAAGCATCTCTCCCAGGGAGTGGTGCCGTTCTCTCGGCATGTGTTGCAAATCACACCTTGGGCTGGGCTGAAGTTGTTTAGGCCTCAAATCAAGACCAAAGGAACCCTGTAAAGTACGAAGCCCTATTAGTAAGAGGAGTAAGGAAGCCTACATGCAACGAGGCATTGCAACTGAATAAAAACCTTGCACTCCTTGGGGATTGATTTGCTGCTGTAGGGGATGGAAGTTCTGCTGTTAACGCTCCGCGGGGGTCCCGCATCGTAGGTTTCCATCCGGGTGTACGGCAGAAATCTGTTCATGACTAGACAAAGGTTTCTGTGTGACTTCCAACTCAAGAAGCCAGCTTACCCTACTGCAAATGCGAAAGGTTCTACCAGGCACAGCAACAACAACGACTATAGTCGTAAGGACTACTTGCCGTCGCAGTGAGGTGGTCCAGTGGCTAAACTACACCTTTGCTCCCTCCAAAGACATTCCCCACCAACCCTGAAACCGTCCTGTCAATGTTCCAAAGGTCCGTGGGTTTGGGAGGGTTAGAGAGGGCCTTCGTTGAGGATGGTTCAGGGCCTTAGTTTACGGTCTAGGTTTTTGGATACAATATCAGCAGCAACAGCAACAAGCGGGAACACTTTTTTGGGCCTTACTAACCTCAATAAGGCATGCTGTACCGTTGTAAGAAATGCTATTCATGGTTATTCAGTATACCGACCAAACCCAAAACCCTAAACCCAAAACCAACTCAGGTGCTGGCCAATAAAATTGGCCATGGCCACCCGCTTCACGGGGGATGGCCGGAGAACTCTCAGAGTCTAAAGTTGAGCCAAAATCGTCGGGTTTTTGAAAGTCTTCAGGGTTCTTACTTGGCTCTTGCTCAAGAGGGTTTAGGGCTCAGGGTTGAACCCTAAACGCTAGTTTAGGGTTTCAAAAAGTGTTCAGTGTCCAGGCTTCTTGGTTCTTGTTTGCTTTTGCCTTAAAGCCTGAAGCCTAAGCCCTTTGGCTGGAGGAGTTTTGGGATTCATGGCGTTTCGGAGGAATTGTAATATGCGAGTCTTTATACGAGGTAGAACGGGGCTCCTTGAAGAGTTCCTTCAAGGGCCCTAGACGGGTTACGAATGGTTACTGTAAGGGTGTAGTATAGCAGTCTCAAGACTTGGAACATGGTGTTGTGATATGTTATAGTATGGCTATAAATCCCCTAAACCCCAAACCCTAAACCGTGTGTAACAGTGTCACGCGTGTGATATGCTGACTCGGGCCTCATCTTGATGGGAGCTTCCCTTGGGCACTAAACCCGGAAATCTTGTCTGAACATGTGGGTAGTTGTCAAAATTATGGTTTCTTTTTGGGTACCCTAATATTAGGTCCGTACTATATTAAGGACCCAAAAATGGATCATAATTTTGACAACCACCCATGTGTCTAGAGACCTATAATGTGGTTAGGGGTTTAGGGTACTCTCCCCATCTCGGCTACAGCACCCCTAAACCCTAAACCCTAAACCCCTAAACCCTAAACCCTAAACCCCTAAACCCCTAAAACCCTAAACCCTAAACCCTAAACCCTAAACCCTAAACCCTAAGCCCTTGAAGGGGCCGAGCCTTGAACCCCAAACCGTGAACATAAACCCGAAGCCCTACTTGGCGGCCCAGGGGACTTAGTAAGTAGGTTATAAGTAGGGTTATAAGTACCCTAAATAGAGTTACCCCAATTATAACCCTACTTATAACCTACTTACTAAGTCCCCTGGGCCGCCAAGTAGCCCGTTGCCGTGGGCTCAAAAGACCAAACCCTAAAGTGTACTGTAGGGGCCTTAACAATTTGAATAGGTTTTGGGGCCCATTATACTATAAGTGTAATAAGGACCCCCCCAAAAAAAATAGTATAGGTAATTATTTAGGCTCCTATAGTATCTTAGGGGGTTCCTTATTATAACTATAGTATGGTCGGCCCCAAAACCCTCTTCTGATTATTAAGGCCCCCATATGAAGCCGGAGGCCTGAATTCGTTATCTTGTTCTGGCTACGTTGCTGGATCGGTCATGGCACCTAGACGGTCATACCCTACCCTTTTTAGGACATGGTTAGGATCTGTCATATAGACAATTAGGTACCTAAAAAGGGGGTAGGGTCTGAGCCTCTAGGTAGTAACCTCCACAAATACTAGCCTGATATTGCTACCGTCCCCAGCCTGGGTGCTTCAGTAGTTAGAAGTGTAAAGCAACCCAAAATAATGCTTGTGGTACTTCTCTCCCAGAAACCCAAGCCCTAAACCGTCATCGACACTTATAGCTTTTTGTTGCCTCTTGGCTTAAGCTTTGAGGTGCTTATGTGTCAGGGTTTAGGCTTCAGCGCGTTCAGGGTTTCAAGTTATGGAGCCCGTCGGAATGGAGTGACCTTTTCGAGCGAACCTGCGCTGCACGTGCTCGTGGAATCTATCTGGCGGCACAGAGGCCAATTACAATCCTGCGAGGCGAGCTGATCAAGCTACCACACCAAACTGAAAGGATTAGTAAGTACGTTAGACATCAGGCAGCTCTAGCTGCACTTGCTTAAACCCCCTAGAAAGTCAAAAGCCTGAACATGCCGGGTCTTCATATATCTAAACCCACATCTTACGTTAGCGTTGCTTCAGGCCCTAGCAGAAAGCAGCTTATGGCAGGTTCAGGTAAAGCCTAAATCCTAAACCCTAAACCCTAAACCCTAAACCCTTCACCTAAACCCTAAACCCTAAGCCTAAATTGCAAGCCGAGTTCTTTCCTTCTGAAACCCACAGACTCCGAGATCCCTTAACTAAGGAATACAGTATACCTACTCTATACCCAAGGGTTCCTCAAGGGGATCTGTAAGTGTTCTACAAGGGAATTCAGGAATGCCTTAAATCATAGCGGGATCCCTAATATGACTTAAGGAATTCAAGATGCATTCAGAAGGTCTTCGGGGCTGAACATCCTAGCAAAACAGTGAACTACCCTGTTCATTAACGGTAGGGTTATATAAACCTCCAAAGGCCAAAGGTTATATACTAAGCAAAATACCTTTACATTAACCCCCGAAGGCCAAATGTTATCTACGAGTAAGATGATTGAAGGTGTAGCGCTCAATTGGATAAGTGGGGCCTTAATGATTAGAATAGGGTTTTGGGGCCATTATAGTATAATGATAAGAAGGAACCCTCCAAAATAGTATCGGTAATTACTAAACCCCCTTATTAAGGTGGGCACTCTAGGTCCAAGCTACGAAGGGCCCGCGCTTCCGTAGCGCTGTTCCACGTACAAGTCCTGGGACGAAGCCAGGAACCCTGCAACCCCAAGAAGTTTAGGGTTTAGGAGGTCCCTGAACCCTAATGAAGCCCGAAGTGTTTTGGCTCTGAGCCCTAAAGCCTAGACTCCGATCTGAAACTAAACCCAAGACCCAAATCCCTGAATCCAAATCTTCGCTCTTCGGGTTACTATGAACCCAAACCCTAAACCCGGGCTACAGAGGGCTAGCGATCGTATAGCTTCAGCGGTTCCGACAGTGTTAGGATGTCGGGCGTACAGTAGGCTGCTGGAGTTTGGAGGTTTAAAGCGGTGTTCAGCCCCCGGATAAAACGTAATTCGCCGCCGACGCGGTCAGAGGCCCCCCCCCCCCCCCCCCCCCCCCCCCCCCCCCCCCCCCCCCCCCCCCCCCCCCCCCCCCCCCGCTCCCCCCTGCCCCCCTCCAGGCAAAGTTCGGAAATAGCGTTGCTTTGGGCAGCACAGCACGCGGCTCCACGACCTAACCTTCTCATAGCATCGGAGATTCAAGCATCGCTATCGCCAGCTAGGGGCTATGTCGAATATCAGGCACAGAACGCGGAGATGCTACAATGGTTACATCAACCTCTTGCTGGCTTCTTGAGACAAGCCCTCTGCCTTACGCTGCTCTGCCCTGCTTTGCCCTGCCCTACAATTAATACAAGTGCGATTCCAACTGTTGTTATTTTCGTACAAGAGCTTCCTGCTGCGCCGGATGGTAGCCAGTCGCCGCATGCGCGAAAAGCCGGGCCGAGGCGGACGACGCGAAGCGTTTCAAATTAAACCACTGTATATAAAGCTCTTGTAAAGCCCTGTTCTCATTGTTACCCAAAGGGTCCAATGTACTGTTATGGGGAATACTTCCCCAAAGCATAATAGTAATTCCTAATATAGAAACCCTACATTCTACTATATCGGTACTTTGGACCCTTTGGGTTAAGGGTCCCATAAGAAGCCCTAGAAGGCCCTAGCCCTAAACCCTCAGCCCTGTTCTCGTAAGGGCAAACTTTGGCTGTTAAAGTTGCGCATTGTACAGGGCTCTAAAAGGAATTTTTAGAGCTTTACGTTATAGGTTTTGCATGGGAACAAAACATACGTCAATCAATGCGTTATTAAAGAGTGGTTGCCTAAGTCAGGGTTCTAGATATGAGACCACTACCAGGGTTTTCTAGGGTTCAGGGAAACCTCTGGTTACATGTTTTCGAAATCCCCTCCCTACTGAGTTACTGAATAGGGCTCATAACAGGGGGCCTAATACAAAAGCTCGTAGTATTCAGCGGTCTACAGTATGCTGGGGTTCAACGCAGTTATAGGCTGTTGGTGTTACACGCCAAACCGACCTTAATGATTAGAATAGGGTTCTGCGTACCGATACAAGGACCACAGGGGGATGTCGGTACCAACTACTACCACATTGGACCGGCTTTTGGAGACTTCAACGTGCGAAAAGCCTCGGCAGTACCCATAGGCCCCAAAGTAGGTCCTTTTTGGGATTACCTTATGGGATTCTATATACGAACCCCCAAAAGGAACTACTTTGGGGCCTTAGGGTAGCGTCCTGAACCCTAAAGTCCCTAATCCACAGGCCTCGGAAACTCCAAATTACCAGCCACGGTTTAGGGTTTAGGGTTTAGGGTTTAGGGATCCTAAAGTCCCAAAGCCCCAGTCCTATTCTGAAGGAGCATGAGACGTAGTATGTAGGGATATAAAGTAATTGTAAGTGTAGTTACCGCACTTACAACCCCAATTGCTGAGTCCCAGATTCTTACACCGTAAACCCTTATAGATCTTATGGAACCCCGTTTACTGAACCTTCTAAGGAGCCCTTTCAGTTACTAAGTTCCATGGTCCCTTAATTAGACCCCCAAACCCGAAAACTTAAACCCCGAAACCCCGAAACCCTCAACCCCTAAACCCGAAATCCTAAACCCCTAAACCCCAATTAAACCCTGAAGCCCTAACACCTAAACCCTAAAACCCTAAACCCTCTTTAACTAGGCTGCTCAGTAACCCACTGTGAAAAAGTATATAGTATATACTTTTTTAGGCTTCTTATTTTATAATAGGAAGCCAGAAACCTGAAAGTAAAAAAGTGTACCACTGAACAGGCTGGCTAAGTAGTCGAGGGTCCAAGAGCACGTGCTTCACGAGCAGCTGCCAGGCGCCTTTAAGGCGATCGCGCTTCTGAGCCTTGCGATCCCGGGCGCGACGACTTAATGACATTGATTAGCGAACAAATTAATTTTGATAACTCTGAATGAATACGGATGGGTTTAAGGTTTAGGGATCCAAGCCGACCCCCTTCTCGCAAGTCTTAACCCTCTATAGTTCTGCAGGATTTGGTGTACCGCTTTCAGTGCGAACGGTGACGCATCGGGGGCCTCCGCCATGCAGCCCCTGAAAGCTTGGTTAGGTATTATAGGGCCCCAAAAAGGCACATAAGCAAAAATTAGGGTAGGGCTATCCCATATAAACCCCCTTAAAAGAAGCCCAATATGGTAGGGATATCCCCATAAAATGCTTATGCTTATGTGCTTTTTGGGTCCTCAATATTAGGGTTCAGGGTTTAGGTTTTATGGTTTAAGGTTTGGGGTTCAAGAGCATGCTTTTAGAGCGGTATCCTTGAGCTCCGAGCCCCTCATCCCCTGAAGCCGGGACCATAATGCCTGAACCCTATGGCTCCTGCAAACCCTAGCTCTTCTTATTATAGCTCCTAAGCACGAGACCCAAAATCCTGTAGCCTCTAAACCCACAGCCTACAGCTCCTAAACCCCTAATCCCTCGAACAGCCCAAGTCGTAGGGCCTTAAGAGGATGGAAGTTGGGACCTTATAGGCCATAGTACTGTTGATGACATGATATAAATCCTGCATTACCCATAATAAGGAATATACCATAATTCCCATAGTTTAGGGTCCTTAAGGTAATGCAGGATGTATATCATCAACCGAATTTAGCACTTGGACGGTCTGGGGTTGAATCTTCCGTGCTTGCCTCCTTCACCTGCTCAAGGCGAGCGCGCTCTTCCTGCGGGGGGCATCTGTGGGCAGGGTAAGTGGTTTAAGAGTTTACGGTCAGGGCATATAAGGTTTCTTTGGGCTTGTAGGGTTTTGATTTGTTTTGTTTCTTTTGCGGCGGGTTTGAAGAGGCTTCGTGCAATCTGACATATTCCTGTTGGAAACCCCGCTGGGTTCATGAACTGGAAGACTACTTGGAGGGAACGTTTGGCGTAACTAGGGCTCACTAACCAAGAGGGTCCATATAAAACACGTGTATATATATATATATACACACACATTTTTACATACATACATACATACATACATACATACTTACATACATACATACATCCATACATACATACATACATACATACATACATACGCACTACTATTATGGAAATAAGTCGCCAAAACCATTACAGGGATGGTCTATTGGGACCTCTGTAATTCCATAATGGCAGTACATATGGACCCTCTGCATTACAGGGCCGAGGCATGGAAGCCCAAGACTTCTGAGCAGCACTTGCAGAATCATCGGACTCGGACTTGATAAGTAATCTAGGATACCCAGTAACCTAAGAATAAAAAGGCCTCTCTTTTTGGTATTGGGTAGCTTTATAAGGAACCTAGGACTACAAAAAGGGAATAAGGGTACTACTGGGCATCCTAGTAATGCTTAAAGGCTTAAAGGCCCTACTTGGGGCCCTGGTAATTCGATTGGGGTTTTGGGGCCCATTATACTATAGTGATAAAGGAGCCCCCCCAAGATGGTACAAGTAATATTAGGGCTCCTACTAGTAATTGTGGGTTATACCTATACCCACTCCGGCCTGGAATATCAGCCCGAAGCCATTCAGACCCAGAAAGCAACCGAATGGAAATAATCAGACCGCGAAGAGAAAATCAGCCTGAATGAGGAAAATCAGGCCGAGGCATCCACATACATGGGGCTTCTCAGGATCATCGAGCTCAATGTGGTTCAAGTTCTTGATGCAAGGACATGTTACACATGCTACACATTGTGACTCTGTAGTTGGAGGGGAAAGCATGGGTTCTTCAATGAACAACCCTCGACCTTACAGCCAATATCTTAAAGATAGGATGATCTCTCGTAGCTTAGAAGCGTTCGGCGCCTGGATGCTTTTGCTCGCCACGTTCTCAGTCTCGGAGTGCTATCCAGCTTGCGAAAGCTGAAAGTCAGGAGTACTTCTTGTGTTTGAAACTTTAGTTGGTAAATTGAAGCTACCCTACATAATACCTGATGCCTATGCAAGCTTTTGGCGCTTCCGTCTATTCAGAAGGGCTCGGACTTTTAAAAACTGCCTTTGTATGACACGCTGGTCAACTAGGCGAACATCTAGCTTGCGACTGACCCTCGACACTCTGCCAATGAAGTCCCCATCCATGTCACAGGCATAGATTTCAGGATTCAGCATGGGGGCCCCTGAGAGTAGAGAGCATCGCAGGGTCCAAGCGACGTGATGAAGCGCATGTAGTTTCGGCTTTTGGATAAAGTGTCTCATGCTGAGGTTCAGGAGATGTCTACCAAGGTGTTGATAACCTCTCAAAAAGCGCATAATTGTAATGTACAATCTGCGGCCGCAAGGTCGAGGTAACACCAACTTGTGTTCACGAATCAAGAAAAGGATGGTCCGAGCAGCTTCGATGGTTTGGACCATTAGACTCATCAACTCGGCATGGCCTCCGAGGTTCGGAACAGCAGGGTGCAGCAACTGAAGTTTCAAGTACCACGAAAGCCATCGCAGCAACAGTACAGTGTCCGAGCCTTTGCTGTTGCTCCAGGGTGCGGACAGCATCGTCTTTATGTTGAAGAAATTCTTGGTAAAGGAACGCAACCCTGGGTTGACATGCTCGGCTGCACACCAAAGCTTAAAATTGCCATGGGCTCTTTCGAGCCGGTCTGGCAGGTTCTTTGAAGATTCTTCTGTATCGAAGAAAGTCTTGCGGCAAAGAAACACAAGCACTCCTCCAACGACATCCCGGCAGCAGCCAGACTTCATAATGTGAAACAAATCACCTTTGATGATATACTCAAACATAGGAGGCTCAGCAGCATCAAAGGGGATTGACTGCAACAAAGGAGGATTGCTGTTTGTCCAGGGCCGGGAAGAAAACATGGTTTGAGACCATAGGGGGCTTTCGCTGTAATCTTCGAACGGCCAACGTGTATTCCCAGCCAAACAATAATGGCAAATCTCACCCGCAGACCTCTCACCTGCGTGGAGCCAGCTACGTGTCAAATTCATAACCTTCTTGTGCCAATCCATGTCACCCTTGCAAGCAATCACGGCCCCGTACACCAGACCTCGACCTGGCACCTCGACTCCCGTATGGAAAAGCTCATGCAGGTCCGAAGCCAAAAGTTTGTACATAGCCTCCGCCACTTCTGGATGGCTCTTGGACTGCCATCCCGCTAGCCCATACAGCAAAAACCTTGACAAGTAGGAGTGTCCCTTAAAGTTGCACCATACAGAGTCAGCAAACTCTTGAGTCTTTCTGCTGAGGGCTGGAGATGGGCCGTCGGCGAATGGGAGATCGCTGCGATCACGAAGGCACTTTTCGCATTTGCATTTACCTTTGGAGGGCCTTGGGGTAGAGCCTAGGGGAGATTGCATACTCATCACTAAGTAATTTGTTCGTTTAAGAGCCCTCCCTTCATCCCCATGAAGACAAAGGGGAACGACTGAAGAAAGCCGCTGAGCATGGGTCTGGTAGATCTGATGGGTGGGGTGGATCTTCCGGTACAGCTCCCAAAAGCATTCGAAGTTTGAAAAGGGTTCACCTGGACTTCCACCTAGTAACTCGGGACACTCACTCAAAAGGAATTGCATCCAGCTCTGCGGACGGACACGGTAGGTCTTGACATCTGCCGACGATGCATCCAAAGTTGCATGTGCTGTAGTTTCAATCTTGATTGGCAATGACAACTTAGCTTTCTGAAAGACTCTTTGGGCATCGCGTTCTGGATTTTTGTCGGCAGAGTCTCGTGGCCGCTTTCCACGACGAGCATCAAGGGTTCGCGTCACTGACACCGCCTGGGCCTAGGAGGATTTTGGGTAATAGGGCTTCTCTTTTAGGGTCGGGGATTTGAATCGAGGGTGTGGGGGGGAGGCCACGATTTGACCAGCTGGGGGTTCGTCGCTTGTCAGGCTGATGAATTAATCTCACTAGACACTAAGCCCGATACGTTCAAGTCCACCTTCGACACTACAAACACTATCTAGACTTACAGGGCTTGGGACCATGGTTTGGTGTTGCGTTGGAAGGCAATCAGCAGTTATAATTTTAATCCTTACGAACACGGAAAGATCGACCGATACAACAGTACTCTTTTCTTGGCATCTAATAAACCCCAGGCATCATTTAAGCTTGCAGTGGGTGGTGGGTAGCTAGGTAGGTAGCTCGGTAGGTAGATAAACAGGTATGTAGGTCCGATAGGTGCTTGGATATGTCATTAAGCAGCAGTAGTCACGGATCTAAACCCCAAACCCTAGACAGTGAGCCCTCACTAAGTTCGGGGAACTCGAGAACAAAAGCAATTAGTCCTACACCCGAAGCCTCGAACCCCAGGCCCCAAATTCCAGAAGCCACAGCACTACAATAAGCCCATGCCCGAAAAACTAAGCGTTTAGGACATTCTAGAACCTGTATCGGAACCCACATTCTCCTAAACCTGCTGATGATCCGTAGAACGGGTAGAGCCCCTGAAATCGGATCGCCAAATCGGACCTGAAAAAAACAAAAGCCTTCAACTCTAAGGCCTAAAGCCTGGACCCAGGACCCTGGACCAGTCGCATAAGCGAGCTAAAGGTTTAAGGATTTAGGGTCTAGGGTTTCAGGGTCAGAACCCGAAGTCCCGAGGACAAGACCCCATCCCCCATCGTTTCTGCCAGATGCTCCAGCAGAACATCGCTTTCCGAAGAAGTGTCGTCGACAGTACCTGGCCGAGAGTTTGGTTGGCGAGTTTGGATTTCTGGAGATTTGGCTTCGGGGAATTTTATTGGGGTTACTTACTTTTTTGCCTTTGCGAACGATGGCCCCTGTCACCATCCAAGCCATGAGCACAACTTGAATGGACAAATTTGATTCCTTGTGGAATACGAAATGCATGGACCTGTTCCTGCGATCCCCGCTTAACAGATTTTGCTTGATTACAAGAATGGTGTTTCGAAGAGGCTACTATAGCAAGTAGGTGGGTCGGAGGTTCGCAGGTTTCAGGGTAAAACAGACCTACTTTCGAGGCTTCTTGGTAGCGGCCGGAGTGGCTGGAGCTTCACGCTTCTGCTTCTGTAGAGCTCGGCCTTTGGCCTTTGCCTTTGCTTTCGACTTTCCTTTCGGGGAAGCTTTAGCTTTTCCTTTAGGTCTCCCCTTTGGGCATGCCGATTCGCTCGTCTCGGCCGGCGCATGGCACCTGGATCCCAGAAACAGGCCCAAGAAACAAACAACGGTTTACTTTGGAATGAAGTGTCTCGGGCTCTCGCTTCACACGATCGTGCAGAAGCAAAGCATCAACCACCCTCAGCACAAGAAGTTTCAGCATAAGCATCACCCCACACCTTGGAGAAACACAAAGAAGCCAAGTGAAGGACATTTGTCGATTCTCGTCAAGCATCACTTTGATGTCCTTGTTCATCTTTAGCTGCCGACTGCACCTAGTCAAACCTGACAAATAACCCTCGAACATCACAATACTAAGTGTACAAACCATTGAGAAAGGAGTCCCCCGTGTAAAGCCATTCAGCGTGCCCTCCTTGATCTTCGTCTCGATGCTATCCACCGATGCCGTGAGGTCTCCTTGCACCTTGTTCAGCTTTGCCTTCAGCCTTAAGGCAGGATTAGGGGAATTAGGGGCTTACTTGAGGATCCAGGCTTTTGAGATCGATGCTACGTGTCGACTGAGGTGTCGTCTGCTGTTGCAGAGGTGTCAATGTTGCGGGGTCGACATTGGAAAACCGTTGCAACAAGGTGTCGATCTTCTTCTCATGCCGCTGTATGCACTTCATGCACGGGTGTAGAAGACTGCTCGGGCTAGCATCCTTCGCGAGCTCGGGCCAACTGACCTTTTTGGCCACGCTTCCCTGATCGACAGCCAGCTGACCATCGCTGGCTTTCGCGTCCTCGGGTTCCACATCCAAGAGCTCCTTGAAAGCACCGCCTAGGCGGTTGAGGTTTAGGAGTTCAGGTTTTACACCAAAGTCTATGGCTTAAGTTTAGGGTCAGGGTTTATGGAGTTCTGTTCGGCATTTACAAGGTTCGGATTCGCAGTGCTTTGGGATCTTGGGGTTCAGAGCTTCAAGCTCCTGTTTAGATGCTCGTGGATGATTAAACTAAAGGTATACCTACGGGTGAGGCCACTTACCTAGAACCGATTCTCCCATTTTAGTCACAAGCGAAAGTACCATCCTAAACCCTGAGATTAAGTCTTTGAGGCACTTAGGGTACGTAATGTAATGCCATCGGTTAAGCTTGGGAACTGTCGGGATTGGAGAGGCCCCAATTGTCGAATTTGTGCTTGTCTAGCACGTCATTCTTTGAGGATGCATCTTCCTCCCAATCCATCATCTCCTGGTAGATCTTGCGCTTCGTCTTCCTCAATGTGCACAGATTACATGCCCCGATGCACAGCTGCACACATTACGTAATAATTTGCACAGCGACACCACTGTGTAGATGAGTATCGAGAGTTTCCCCTTGATGCGGACATCAGTCCAATACATTTCTCCTTCTCCGTACTTGCTCTGCCTTTCGAGGAAACAGGGCAATGCTGAACGCACGACCACGACGACCGCTGCCTCACCAAGGAAGGCCGGGAGGAGCAGTATGCGACGATTCCTGCTTTTTTGCTCCTGCACGGGAGCAAGGAATTTGAAGTGTCAGGGTCTAGGTTTTAGTTAGGTTTTAATCCTAGTCATTGGTCTCAATTCTAGACAAGTCGCTCACTGAAATTCAAGTTGTCCATGTCCTCGAGCGTAAGAAACTCACCCTCTATCTCGAAGGATTCTTCCTCCACTTCTTCGGCGATAGCTTTGCATCGCTTGAGAAACTGCTCCTTTTAGGATGCAAGCGATTTCTTTTCAAACTCATGTGTACTGAGTAGAAGTGTAACACAAAGAAGCTGAAGCTTTTGATCACAAGCCCCGCCCGGTGATAGGATGTTTTCTCGAACAATCCCATAAGCCGATCTCTGCCCCCTCCAGGACTCTTGTCAGCCCACTGCTTCACAAAGTCAGCAGCCACGAGGTAGGAACCGTCAGCTCGCGGGGTGAAGATTCGTCGCATTCGTTGCTTCACGGCTTCTGCGGAAAGTTCTGCGGGTGGCAGGCTAGCAACTCCAAATTCGTCATCAGAGTCACAGGCAACAGGAGCAGGCTCTGGCTTTGGCACTAGCGTGTGTGTAGCAGTCCGAAGCCGCCTCGGCTTCTGGGTTGCACCAGAAGCAGCTTCCGCAGTTGTGCTGGCAGGGCTTGCTAAAGAAGCTTGGGGTGTAGGTGCCGGAGCGCTTGGTAAGGAAGCTTCGGGCGTAGGTGCCGGAGTGCTTGGTAAGGAAGCTTGGGGTGTAGGTGCCGGAGTGCTTGGTAAGGAAGCTTGGGGTGTAGGTGCTGGAGTACGATGTGCATCTTGGGACTCCTGGGGTGGAAGTGCAAGCTGTGCATCCTCATTAGGATCGAGCTGCGTATCACCCAAAGTGCCTCGCCCTGACAGGCGAGAGTGAGGCGAGGAATCTGGCTCCGAGGCAGGCAGCACACCAGCCGTTTCGGTGGTAGGCTCTTCGTGACAAACCTCTGGCTTCACAGCCTTCAGACCACTAGCATCTCCCGCAGTTGCCTGGAAGCGGAACTGTAGTGCCGGCAGCAGCAACAAAACCTACTACAACGATTATCCAGCCTGGGCCCAGAAGAGGATTTGGAGCTCGTCGTCATTCAGCTCGTCCAGAGTTGCTTCGGAAAGCGGCTCGGCCTGATCTGCAATCTCCTGCTTGAGCTCCTGAGGGCAAAACTATTTGGCGCTGGCTAGGGCATGTGCAGGGGTGACAGAGTCCAGTTTGGGATCATGGGTCCTGTAGTTCCTGTTCCATACGCTCAAGCTCCGGATCGGAAGCCAAAGCCAGCGAGTTGCATCGGACTAGGTCCAGGCCCCGGCCCAGCGTCTCTGTCGAGTGACACCCGCTGAGAAAGCTCATGGCTGCCCTCAGCCACCCTAAGCCTACGACCCTAAAGCACCCCTTCTATGAATGGGACACCACTCGGGCCCAAAACAGGGCCTTTGGAGAAGCACAGGTGCCGAAAGCAACCGTTATAGAACGAGTCGGTGCATACGAAGAGCAGCTCAAAATGGCAGTACGGGTTGCAACGCCTGAAGGTTGGGTAAAAACGGCTGAAGGTTGGGTAAAAACGGCTGAATTGGGCAGTCAGTTTTGCACGGAGACCTGCGAAACCATGAAGAATCCTAAATCCACAGCTTTGCTGTCACAGGCATGAGCCTGACACTGCCTGCTTCAACTCTGGAGGCAAGTGCAAGTGTTTGCTTCCATACACGTATGTGAGAGGGCACCAAAGCTCAGCATCGTTCCAATTGTCACCGATCGCAATACTGTTCAGGAACTCTAGGAGGCCAGAATACTGTAGTGGTGCCTCGGGTCGGCAGCAGGTTTCAGGCAAGGCTATTAGAAGGCTTACAACCCCGAAACCTGTAAGGACTGCCCCGAAACTCTGGAATTGCCAGGAGGCCCGGATGGTTGGATTTTCCGCCAAGAGGTGCCTTCGACCACGAACGACTTGTGCTGCAAATTTCGCGGGATAGGTCCTGGGATGTTGCGTTGTTTGGTTGTGTTTAGGTTTGGGGCTTTAGGGTTTACTGCCCCTTTCAGGACATGATTTAATAGGTGCTTCCTAGTCACTAGGAAGCACCTATTAATTGGAAGGTTTGTGTTTGGACTTTCAAGGTTCGGTGTTACTCTTCAAAAGCTGTGACTTCAGAGGATTCGGGCTGGGGTTTGGGCCTAGGCACTGGCTCTGCTTCAAGTTCGGAGTCGCAGTGTACGTCTTCTTGCCATGTTGGTTGACCGCATACTTAGCCGTCTTCTTTGTCGTCTTGTGTAGAGCATGCTGGATCCGACCCAAGCAGAAGTTTGAGATCCATGAAGACGTTGACCAAAGAATGGTACGCTTCAAGCTCGCATGGCCGTAAAGCTTCAGCCACAGGGGTTGCCTCCAAACCTAGGGGAACAAATTCATAGGAGCCCTGGAGATGTAAAAACCTTTAAACTGCATTGCTTGATCTTATTCAAGTCACTTTGATCCCTCGTATCCCAAGAGCTTTCAGAAGCCACTGGAACTTTGGAAAGAATTGCAGGAGACTGCTCCGTGGCTGCTCCAGCAACGGCACACCGCCGCAGGCGAGCACAAGCAGGAAGAGTAGCACACACCTGTTGGGAATGTTCCGTTGGATTCGGGTTTATGGACTTACTCCTCCACTAGTTTTTTTGGGCAGAATATGGTACCTCGCTGCAAGCTTGTTATGTCGATAAACTTCGGGGCTTGCAAAGGTCCCGCTGGAAAAGAATTCGGACCGCTGCGTACTTCCCCGGCTCATGTCAACCCAGGTGGAGCAGGGAATGCCAAAAATCGCCAGGAGAGCTCCCGACTTGCTCTGAAGGATTAAACCACATGCCAGCCTAGGCCACCAGGTTCTTACTCTAGACTTTAGGGTTTAGGTGTGGGTGATTTAAGATAATGGTTTCAAGGGTCTTAAGGGTTAAGGGTTTAGGGGTTGCACCGTGGGAGCGACAATTGCGACACTCAGCGGCTCAGCGGTCTCTTTCGGGGGATTGGCAGAGACAGGAGGACTCTGGGATGTTGGGAAATTCGATAAAGTGTTATGGGTCAGGGACAAAGCAGCTTCACCAGCTTCACCAGCACCAGCACCACCACCACCACCAGCACCACCACCACCAGCAGCATCACCAGCCTCATCTGTAAAGCACTAGACTAGATCTGAAAACCAATAGTTGGGCTCTACAATTAGAGCTACTAGTGGCAGTATACTAGTACCAGTAGGTTCAGACCGGAGGTACTCTCTAAGCCTAACAATGGACAGACAAGGAACAGGAAACCTGCATTCGTGTTCACATCCATGCTGTTGCTTTTCTTGCGGTTGTCTCCGTCGCAGTAATCTTTATCGAGAGCAGCAGCTTTTAGGCCACATGACTTCGCGATTCGGGCTATCCTGGCTTTGCCTGCGAAGAAATCCAAAACATCATAGAAATCAAGCTCCTCGAGAATTGCCAGCTTCATGAGGCACATGACCAGACAAATGAAATCCTGGGATGGCTTGGGAGCTCGTGTAATTGGGTCTGGGGATGTATTATGTAAAGATTAGGGGTCGGAAAGTAAGACGGGATTGTTAGTGTGCTCATTGCCTATTCTGTTTCAAGAAACCCTTGGTGCTCCAAGCCAAGCCAGGTTCGTCAGTACCCGGATATACTTCTCGGAAAGGTCATACCATCCATGGCGCATGCTAGCTTCCGCCGGTTCCCCCGGCTCGGGCAATGGTAGGTTCACTACCGAACTGTAAAAGCCTCACAAGCTACAGCATCAATAGAAACTCCCACATATTCCGATCTCAAGCTGCAGCCTGACTGGAAACACAGTCAATAACAAGCCTGGCAAACTGTCAGCCAGGCCGTACTTCGCGTACACTCGGAGGCCAGCTGGAAGGCGGCTCATTCCCAGCAGTACCTGCGCAAATCAGGGAAGTCGTCGCTTTTTAGGTTTCAGGTTTGCTGGGTTCGGCTGCAAGGCTCCAGTAGCACGCTCACAATCGGCATTGCATCAACCAGACAAGTTTCTGCAGCTGTTCTGGCAATCTCTAGATTCAAAAGGAAGCAGAAGCAGATGCGATATGTCTTTTGAACACAGCCGGCGTCGGGATGTCCCGATTAATCAGATACCAACAGCCATCGCAGGCTTTCGGACTGGCACTTTCAGGCCCAGCTGCTGGCACACCGAGGCAGGGACGCAGGATCATGCTAGTTAAGAAGCACAATACCGGTACCGGAAGATCATGCGAGCTGTTACCCGCGCCCCTTACCTCATCCCAACAGACCCATACAGCACAGCAAAAGATCCCCTAATCGAATCACTGTACTGAGCAAAGATCGACAAGCCAGTCTCGCCATCAGGCACTGTCAGCACCGACCAGCCAGCCTTAGATTATAAGAGCACAACACATCATTGGAAAAAGAGAGCTGGGGCGTGACAAAACACAAATCTATTGGGTCAAGAAGCATTGAACAGACTCCAAAGTCAGAAAACTTTCAGCACATGTTTTGCAGCATTTCCTCATATCCAAGACCACACCGGATCCACGCTTATCCTTGATCTCTTCAGACAAGGCCTCAAGGCAATGCTTCCAGTAGGCATCCTGCCGATCGAGCAAAACAACTTCCCACCCCACCGCCTGCACACTCACACAACCAGCTCTAGCAAGCATTAGCCGAAGAAGTCCTCGGCTTTGGAACGGAATCTCAGATGATTGGCCACGTAAAGCTCGAAGGAGTCCCGGATGCAGGTCCACCTCTGCTTCGCAAACGCCTCGCGCGTAGGACACGGCCTGCTGGCAAACGTCTTTTTGCCCTCAGCTCCCTCCTCGGGCTCCTTCTGGTCCGATGCCTCGGCAGCCGGCTCAGAGGGAGCTACCCCTTCGTCCTCGGCAGGGGCTTTCACCTTGCTCTTGGCAGAAGCTTTCGCCTTGGTCTTGGCAGAAGCTTTCGCCTTGGTCTTGGCAGAAGCTTTCGGCTTGGTGACAGCCTCCTGCTTGGCCTCCTGCTGGTCGTCGCCAGTAGAAGACTCTCCTTCCTCAGCCGCCCGCTTCCGCTTCGGAGCAGATTGCTCCGCACCCAAGCTCGGAACCTCGCCGGTCTCTGCTGGGGCATCTTCAGGATTCGGCTTCTTCTCGGGGCCGGACACACCGCCTTTGCTCGCTGATTTGGCCTTCGCTTTCGCTTTTCCTTTCGCTTTGGCCTTGCCCTTAGGCTTGGCCTTCCCCTTGGGCCTGCCTGGGCCCTTTTTCCCATTCTTGCCTGTCGGAGGTTCCGCCTCTTCATCCTCCTCCTCCTCCTCGACGTCTTTTTGCTAAGCCACCTTGGCTTCGAACTGGTCCTTGCGGCTCAACCCGGAATCCGACAAGTGGAATAAGTCGCCCTGAGCAGCATCGCTGGATACAACCGTCTTAGCATCGCACACAAACTCGGGCTCAGGTCGCGATTGTGAGTCTGGCTCACCAACGACCTTTGCATCCGGGCTCTCATCTGCAGCCACTGCCTGGAACTGCTTCGTAAGATCACGAGCAACAGGCTCTAGATCCATGGGCTGCGTCTCCATGTCCAGCAGAGGGACTGCCTCAAGCTTTGCCGTGGACGGCCTCGCGCAAGCCAAAGTCCTTCTTCGCTTCTCAATCTCTTGCCTCGATTGCAAAAAAACCGTGACGACCCATGTGGTTGCTATTCATGCAAATGTTGCCGAACCTAGATCATGCATCTCAGAAACCGCAGCTGGTCGAGACGTTCTAGGCGAAAATTCTTAATCTTGCGGAGAGGAGGAGGCGGAGGAGCCTCTGCCTCCAGATCAATGACCACCTGCATCCCGCACTCGGCCTTGCTCGTGACCTCCGCCTTGATCTCATCCTTCGCCTTGATCGTGTCCTCCCCCTTGGTCGCGTCCTTCGTCTCGATCGTGTCCTCCCCCTTGGTCGCGTCCTTCGTTTCGATCGCGCCGTTCGACTCGATCGCACCCTTCGACTCGATCTCGTCCTTCGACTCGATCACGTCCTTTGTCTCGATCGCACCCTTCGACTCGATCTTGTCCTTCGCCTCGATCGCGTTCTGTCTCAACCCGGTACCTGGGGCTGCCACCAAAGCTCCAGATAGCATATCGTAGAGCTCCTGATCGTCAGGGTCTGCATCACCCGCCAACATTTCGTCCGCTGGGACAAAATCCCGATAGAACCCATCGGCTTCACCACCAGTCTCGGGATCAACTTCCACATCCTCCTCCTTGCATTCCTCCTCCTCTCCTTCCTCGCCATCATCTGCCACATCACCAGGCATCGGCTGAACCTGGAAGTAATGGTTCATGACGTCGAAGAGCTTCCGAACCACAGGATCCTCAGTCTAGGAGTCTAGTATGGGGACTTGAGGGCACTTATCGATACAACCTGGGCTGCCGCAAAGGAGCCCTTCGCTTGGCGCCGTTGTGGCGCTTAATCATATACGTGACAAAGCACCGAAGGGAGGATGCATCACAGACGACTTTTGCCGGATCAGCCGGCATCTCGAGGTCCTCCCTCATCAAAGCAATCTGCGGGACAGTGCAAACCCAAGCAGGCAAGCTAGCATGAAATCGACACTCAAGCATTTGTCCAAACCTCTGCCTCACGTCGTGCTGCAAACACGTTGATCGTTCTCAACTCTGGGGCCGGGTGAAGGTAGTGGTGAAGCAAAATCGTGAGGACTGAAGCATTGGGCCGCATGGATTTGAAATTGATGATGCCGACCTTTTTCGGCTCTTCCCAAACCAGCAACCTGCCCGTTTTCAACAGTCGCTTCCTGATTTCCTTCTGTTTCTCCAACTTTGCCGCGAGTCCATCTAAGGCCAACTCATCGGCCTTGTGCTCTTTCTTCGGCATGAGCTGATCTTTCTAAGCTACACAGTCCTACCCTGTTTAGCCTGGCTATCGAGCCTGACAGAAATGGAACAAGCAAAATGAACCAGAAGCAACAACCGTCATCGCAACAAAAAGCCGCACAAGAAATGGGTGGACTGGGCGGCACGAGGGAGGGCACTGCAGCACAAAGAAGTCGCCAGGGCCAGCAACTCATCAGTGAGCCAGCATGTAGGACCTGCGTGCACAAGATAAACAAAACTTATTACACAACATTTGTTCGGCTGCACACCGTGAGCACAACAGTTGCATGCACGAAAGCATTTTCTAGCAACAGTCATCTTCCCAAGTTGTTGTTTCCCCAACTGTCAAGGGAAGTTCCCTCTGATGCTTCTGGAAGCCCTGACTGCAGGTCAAGGCGGTGCTTCGCCTGAGCGATGCGATGGAGAGACTCATGTTACGGCAGTGATAAGGCTGATATGACACATTCTTGAGAGCTCAGGAAGCAGCGGTGCTTTCGTAGAATGGTAGCAAAATAATGCACCACCCCCTTCAGCCGGTAGTTGTGTAGGATGGTCCAAGCACGATCGTCACTGATGGGAACCTCACCAGAAAAGGAAACCAAGGGAATTAAGATTCTCAAACCCTACACCCTAAACCTGCAAGACTCATTATGAGATAGTTGATGACCTAATCCCCATTGAAGTGACCTCGGGGTTCGTATCGAAGAGCACCTCCTGACATCGAAGCCAAAAAGTCGGTGGCAGATCGAAAAGTCCTGGGAAGGATCCGGGAAGGAGCTTGATTGAAGTTGCTTTGTTAATGTGCAACCGAAGACAAGCCTTCTTTTTGAAGTTCGCAGGTGAGCACAAGGCTCAAATGAACGGCAGCCATCCTTCCTACACCCCTCCAGGGAATCCTACAAATCCTACTAGTAGCTGCAGCAGCTGAAACGGCTGATTTGCCCATGCCACAACTGATGCAACACTGTCGACATCTCGAACAGACAGCAAGCCACAGCGAAGCATTCAGAAAGAGAGGGGGGCGCACCTTCGGGCGTCCACGAGATTTCCAGGGCCCGAAGAAGCTTTGAGCCAGCTCATGATCCATGAGCAAGGCATCAATACAAGATTGAAGTATATATCGTTTAGTTACGATCTATTACACAGCTTCCGAACTCTTAAATGTCGAAGAAAGCTCGAAAGGGCAATTCCGACCGCAGTCGTTTTTTCCAGGACACTTCTTATTCAGTCGCCCGAATACCGTTCGGTCTGGAATACTAGACTGAAGGAGGGTCCAGGTATCTAACCAAACAAGAATTTCCCTACTGATAACGACCCTATAGTTACCAAGTTCGTGGAACCTCCAAGTAGTAGGGATGTGAAAGGCCAGAAATGCATGTGAGTGTGTCGGTTGCAACTGAACTTGATCTCCTTTCCCATTGCAGCGCTATCGAACCTTGCCTGCATAATTTTCGTTCCAAGCCCTGAACACCGAAAGCCTAATGTGGTGGCCTTATTGGGAGCAGGTTGTTGTGGGGCCCGCGTTTTTGAATAGGGCTCTCGGCTAGAAAATGTGAGCATGCGTGATATTATGAATTATAAAAGAAACCGTAAACATACTGACTATTGCCGCGAATCTTTGTCATGCCGACCCCTGTGTTGACCAACACAGTGTAAGTCAACCCTAATCATTACATACCAATTAATCCCCTTAGCCGTTTAATAAATCCACCCCCGAATATGAAAAATTCTCCGGCCGGAAAAATTTCCATTTTCGATCAAAAAAATCAAAAATGAGCAAAAGTTAAGTGTGTTGAATTAGGGGTCAGGTAGGATGGCCGTCACGGATTTGGAACTACCAGGCTAAGGTCGCATGGAGAATTTGGACGGCCGGCATGGAGAGTTGGAAAACGGCGTCCGAGGGAGTCCGGATGTGGGAGTTCTAGAATTCCCAGGCTAGGGTCGCATGGAGAATTGGAACGGCCGGCATGGAGATTCGAGACAGCAAAAACTGGCCCTAGCCTGGGAGTTCCTCGAATTGCGACTCCCGTGTTTTTCGTCAGACGCCGGCCCTTTCCTGGGAATTCCAAGTTCTAGACTCGAACTTCCACGAATTTCGAACAATCACTGAAAAATGAAGCCTGAAAACCACCTGACAACCCCTTCATATGATTCATCAGGGGGAGGGGGTCTTAAACGGATGAGGGGATTAATTATTGTCCGGACCCGGCATTAAAGCCCCTCAAACCGCTCATCATCCCTGATCCCCTCCCCGGTCGTCTAAACCCTCAACAGTCAACCTCTGCACAACCCGAATCATTAATCCCTCCCCCGTCCTCAAAGCCGGAACCGCTAAACCCTAAGTCTAAAACCTAGACCTGCCTGACAATATCGTCGGAATAAAAAGGATGCCCTTTTTGGTTTAAAGGGGGTTATACGGGAACCTGAATCCTGAAAACGGGAATAAGGGCTTATTCTGGGTCCTAGAAACAAAGCAGCGGGTCCTCTGCGGCACGTAACACGTCCTCGACATCTCGCTCCCACACCACACAGCCCGAGATTGTCGGTTTCAGCACACCTCTTCGGGAGTTGACCCTATGCCTGCAGGGACCTTATTGGGTCCTTAAGGGGTCTAGGGCCCTAACTATGAGGTCCTTGGGAGGATAGGGTTAGGATTCAGCTTCAGGGCACTAGGGATCTTGTTTTAGGGTTCGGATCTTTGGTTTTAGGTCTAAGAGCTTATGCAGTTTAGGCATAAGGTTAGGAAGTTCATCACCATGGTTTAATGACTAGTGTAACTATCAGCCCGCACAAGGGAATATGAACCTTAATCCTAGCCCTAAACTGTATGTACTATAACTTTACGCCCTGTGGAAGGAAGAGCGTACGGGCGTTACGACGTAGCCGTACTTGATGGTCCAAATGAGTGATAAGTGGGAGGCTGTAAAGAGTGCTGTCAGTACTGTAGTAAGTACATGATTTTGAACCTCCGAACCTCGTTTTCTTGAGGGCTAGGAAAATCGGGCGTGTCAATGGCGAGCCTAGACTCTAGACCCTGTATCTGCAACCGCTTGGAGTGAGTTGGGCAGCCATTCCTTTTTGCTGGGGCTGAGACTCCGCTCCACCAGCAAAATGCAGCAGGTTCATGAAGGGGTTAGGGGAAATTGAAGGTCGATGCCGGATTAGGTTTTACATCAGGTGGGTTGGGGTTGGGGGTGTAGTTGAAGCTTTTCTTGCAGTAGGATTGACATGTACCCGGGAGAAGTGGAAGGTCAACCCCTGTCAGCTGCTGCGGTAAGAAGTATCCATCTTTCAATGGGTTGTATGGCTTCGAAGTGACAGACTTCAATACTTTCCGTCCTGGAACTTAGCGTTTACTTGGAATGGCAGGGGACTTAGTAAGTAGGTGATAAGTAGAGTTATAAGTACCCTAAATTGAGTTACCCCACCCTACTTATAACCTACTTACTAAGTCCCCTGCCCTTCCAAGCAGACCCTAAACCCTAAACCCCATAGATCCCTTTAAGGAACCCCATAGATCCCTTTAAGGAACCCTATAGATCCCTTTAAGGAACCCTATAGATCCCTTTAAGAACCCTGAGTTCCAAGTAGGGTTCACTCCTGGGGGCAAGTCAGAGACTCCAGAGCCCAATCGAGCACCTCACGGCTTTTACAAAGCTCCAGCCCTAATCCTCCCTATAACTTAAGCCCCCCAAATCCCCTAAAACTCTATAGATCTAAATCCCCACCATACCCTAAGCCCCCAAACCCCTAAACCCTATAGATCTAAAGGGAACTGCAGAAAGTTGGAATATGGTTTCAGGGTAGGATACCCTATAATTTACCATAAAGGGTTTAGGATAATCATATTCCAAGTTTCTGGCTTTTACTTTATGAGTTTCCGAAAATAGGGGACTCCAATATAGCACCCTAACTGGAGGATCCTTATTCACAGGACCCCAAAATGAAGTACCCTAATTTTCGGAAACTCCCACATGTGACAGAATACTACAGGTGTAAGAAAAGGCCTTGAAATATGCAGGCGCCCACATGTCTGAAGGTACCACACACCCACGACCGCCCCTAAATCAACGCACCCTTTACGGGTTGCAAGACAAAACCGTGGACGGTGCGAGGACAACATGAACCACGACAAGTTTGTGGCTTTCTCGCTTGCTCGACCAACCCGATACGGAATCAGAACCAAAATTTCAGTTCCGGTTCATTTTGGCCGTAATATGTGGGCCTTTGTAATTAGAATGGGGTTGGGGGTTGTATCAAAGTACACTTATGATAGTAAGGAGCCATAAGGAAAGTATTGTGCATGATTCCAGCTCCTGTGTCAGTCTACCGTATCCCGGAAGCCGTAAACCCTCAGCCCTAAACCCGAAGCCTTGAACTGTAAACCCTAAAACGTAAAGCATGTAAGCTTTAACCCCAAGGGTCCAAGTTCCCGATAATCATGTACTCTCCCAAATGGTGGCCTACATAACATAACTACTATCCGAGACCTGAGTACCCGATTCTCTTGCCCTTTGGACCCCGACCTAAACCCTAAACCCCTAACCCCGCAAACCCTGAACCCCTAAACCCTGAACCCTAAATCCCTAAATCCCTAAACCCCTAAGCCCTAAACCCCTAAACCCCTAAACCCTACACCCCTAAATCCCTAAATCCCTTGCAGTAAGGCATGCACCTCTTTCGCTCTGGAAGCCGGTGACAGCAGGGGCAAACTCCACACCCAGCTTCAGAGCAGCCTTACTCCAATGGGGTTTCGGGTTCATCATTTAGGGTTAAGTTTAGGGTTTAGGGTTTAGGGTTTAGGGTTCAACGGTTTAGGGTTTAGGGTTTAGGGTTTAGGGTTTAGGGTTTAGGGTTTAGGGTTTAGGGTTTAGGGTTTAGGGTTTAGGATTGAGTTAGCAAATAGGGTTTAGACTTGAAATCGCATTTAGGGTTTTAGGGCTTAGGGTTTAGGGTTGAGTTAGCATTTAGGATTTAGTTTAGGGTTTCGGCTTAAGATTG